CAAAAAAAGATTACTCCTTTAGGGAGCTCGAGAGATTCTTAAAAGGAGTGAATCAATCAATAATTGAATAAACTCCCCAAAACCAAAGAAGTCGAATCTTCTCCAGTCTCTTCTTCATCTTGGTGAGTTTTGTAATTTAGGGTTTTTCGTTTATTGCGTTAACTCTCTGAAAACCCTTCTTCCTTAGGCGGCTCAAGGCTTTTTAGGGTTTCTTCAAAAATCTGACTTTTTTCGGAGACGCTTCGATTTCTATTTGAATCAGTATTTATGCGTCTTTGTTTGTCCTATTAGTCGTGTTAGGGTTTTTAGATTCGTCACTTTCTGGAATTGGTCTGATTGTGACGCTTTGATTCTCTCTAACAGTAGTTTATTATTTGGGGTCAAAATTGAATCAGTGTTTTTGCTGTCTCTTTAATTGCATTTTATAGGGTTTTTGACTCTTTAATTTTGATGATTATTACATAGTGTGAAAGCGTTGACAAGTTTGTTTTTTTTTTAAATTCCTTTGTTATGTGTTTGCTTGGTGAAACTCCTCCTTATGTACTAGTAGTGGGATACATGTCCTCTGGTTTGATCTTCGTTGATAAAGTTGAACTCTTTTTCATCGAAACAGATAACGAAAATTCGGAAAACTCCGGAATTTAGCTTATCATAGGGGTAACTAATTTGTGGGTCTAAATGTTAGGTTTCTATCTGTTGAGACATTCGCTTAACCTTTTTTTGTTGTGTTTTGTTTGCAGATGGAGTCTTCAAGTCCTCAACATGGTCATATCATTGAGATTAATAATGTAGGGAAATCTGATGAAGAGAGAATAGTTGGGGGAAGTAAAGTCTGTGGAGAAGCGCCGTGTGGGTTTTCGGATTCTAAGAATGCTTCAGGGGATGCAGAGGAACGCACTGCTTCGATGCGGAAGCTTTGTATCGCGGTTGTGTTATGTCTTATATTCATGAGTGTAGAAGTTGTTGGTGGTATTAAAGCCAATAGTTTGGCTATATTAACCGATGCAGCACATTTGCTCTCTGATGTTGCTGCCTTTGCGATCTCGTTGTTCTCCTTGTGGGCTGCTGGTTGGGAAGCGACTCCGAGGCAGACTTACGGGTTTTTCAGGATTGAGATTTTAGGTGCTCTTGTTTCTATCCAGCTGATTTGGTTGCTCACAGGTATTCTGGTTTATGAAGCCATTACAAGGCTTGTTACTGAGACCAGTGAGGTTGATGGATTCCTTATGTTTCTTGTTGCTGCGTTTGGTCTACTGGTGAACATCCTAATGGCTGTTTTGCT